CGGGTGAGGGCGGCCAGAGGAGGGAGTTGGCAGGGCGAGTGGGGGGCGGGGAGGGGGGGGAGAAACACAGAGCAGAAAATCAGTTTTAATTTAACATAATATTAATCAGGACAACTTTTCCTGTTTTTTTGTCCTCTCTCCCCGTTCCCGTGTCTGGTTTGGGGGGCCGCACAATGCAGAGGCAATTACCCCTGCCTCTTGGACAGGACCACCTTTCAAATGCAATGAGGGTCCCCCTCCCACCCTTCTGTTAGCCATGTGGCCGGCCCCTACCCCAATTTCATACCCCAATGCACAAGGGCTGGGGGAAGCAAGGAGAGCCTTTCTCTCTCTTCCTTTTGACAGCGCCCACGCCCAGCCAGCCACCCACCCAGGGAGCAGCAGCAGCAGCAGCCCAGCCGCCTCCCCTCCTTCTGGCAGGACCAATGCCCTGGAGGACACCCCCCCCCCCAGCCACCCTTCCCTCTGCCTGGAAGGAGCGTCAGGCAGGCGAGGTGCCTGGAAGAGGCGGGGGGCAGGCTCCCCCGGCCCCCTTCCCGCCCCTCGTAGCTGCTCCACTGGGCAGCGTCATCTGCTGGGAAACCCAGGAGAATCCGGCCACAGAGGGCAGGCCATTGTCTTCTTCGTAGGGAGGACACAGAAAGCGCCTGCTGCCTGCCCCACTTCTCTGCCCGCCTCCATCTGTGCAGTGGCTGCATTGCACTCCCCACCCCCCTGCCGCCGCCCCACATCTGCCCACCGCTCACTCCGTAGGGATCTAGCTGTCTTTTCTCTCTTCCCCAGGGTAATGAGTACTCCCTCCCGGCTCTGACCCCTGGTCTTGATGAAGTCAAGTCGAGTTTATCCACCTCTGCTAATCCAGACCTGGGGAGCAACGTGTCGGGACCCCAGACCTACCCCGTAGTGACTGGTAAGTGGCTCCACGTGGCTCCGCCTTCTGCTGTTGGTTCACTGGGGGCTCTATTCTGAAACCACCCCGGGCAGGGCAAAGGAACGAGAGCCCCTGCGAGGAAAGGGAGGGAGGCCGCCTTTGGGTGGGACTCACTCACAGGGGACAGGCCCCCTTCTCTTTGATTCAAACCCGGGGGGGGGGGGTGGTACGCAT